CCCAGGAGCCGTGTGGTTCCAGCGTGTAGACCAGGCCCCGCTCCCCACCGTGAGCCGCGCGGTTCCCGCCCCTAGAATAATCCACGCCCTCTCGGCCACGCCCCCTACAGTCCCCGCCTCCAGATACAGGGCCCGCCCCTTTCAAATTCCCGCCCTCGTCTCGGCCCCGCCCCTCCACGGGAGCCACGCCGTTCCCTCCCCTCGTCTTGACCCCTCCCCTCCACGCGTGTCCCGGAGCCAGGCAGACCGGGCAAGTTCCTGACGGTTCGAGAACCAGACCCCGAGCTGGTGGCCTAACGGGGATAGGTGGAGGAGGCGGGGTCGTGATCAAGACACTGCATGGGAAGGAGCGAGGGGGTCGTGACCCCACGTGACCCGGAGCCCGCAGACCTCGACAACGCCGTGTGAGTGCGTCCCGCAGTCCCCGCGGTGCATGGGGCAGGCGGTTCCGCGGTTTCCGCGGTGACTACAGCAGGCTGCACCGGGAAGCAGCATGGACTGAGGAGCTGGGCCCCTGCCCCGTCCTCCGCGCCCAGTCCTCCCCTGTCCAGGCCCCGTCCTCCCCCCTCCCGTCCAGGCTCCGCCCTCCCCCGTCCAGTCCTCCCCAGTCCAGGCCCCATCCTCCCCTTCCAGGCTCCGACCTCCCAGCCAGGCTGTCCTGGCCTGGTAACAGCGAGGGTCCCCGGCCCGGAGCCCTGCCACCGCCGCCTTCCGCAGGGATGCAGCCAGGTCTGGTGAGAGGCCCAAGTGGGGCCTCTCGGACCTCTCTCTGTCCTGCCCTCCCCCTCCGCGCGCGCCTGTGTGCGCACGTGCGTGTGTTGCCTGCGCGTGTCTGTGTGCGTCCTGGGCCTAGCGCCCCGCGGTGCCCTCCGGCTCCTGGTGGTCCGCTGGAGGAGAGGCTGGACCTCTGGCGGGCTGGCCCGGACCTGAGCCATGGCTCTGGCTCCTTGGTCCCGCTTCCCAGGAGGCCTAGGGCGAAGAACCGCGGCCCGGGAGCGCCCGGGTCAGCGCTTCCCTGGTGAGCCTGGCGTCAAGAGCAGCCCTCCCTGTGCGTGCCGGCCAGCCACGCTTCCTGCCCTCAGGACACAGTTGATGCGGGAGCCCAAGGCATTCTCTGTCACACTCCACAAGAACCTGCCTGGAGGCGTTTGTCACACCCCATGCCCAGTCACACCCAAGCCTGTCCACAGGAACAGCCAGGAAGGGGCTTTCCCCAGCAGCCTACCTTTAGAACATGTAGGAGCTGCGTGAGATGAGTGTGTGAGAAGGTGGTGTGCTGCACCCAACCACAGGTCTAGTGTCACCCGGACAGGACAGCAACTGGCACTGCCTTTGTTCCCCAATGACCCTGCTCTCAGAAATAAGAGGAAACATGGTCCAAGTGATCATTTAAAAAGCACAGTCCTTCTGCATTAGTGAAAATCACATAAATCCGCAAAATTTTAGGAATATTAAATGGAAATTTAAGATTATTTAAATGTATATTAGAATAACAATGTTAATAGGAAAATAATCAGGAAAAAGATAACAAAGGAAATATGAACAGCCTGCGAAGCAACATTTAAGAGAGGATACCAATCTCCCTTACAGAAATACACTGATACTAAAAATATATTCAGCCTGAGCAATCAAAACAAACAAAAAGGGCAGGGGGTATAGCTCAAGTGGCAGAGCACCTGCCTTACTTAAAAACTTAAAAACTGGCTGTTTATGGTAGGAAATTAGTTAATGAGCCACACAACCATCAAAAATAGTGGCACTCAGACTGGGGCTGGTGACTCATACCTGTGGTCCTAGCTTCTCAACAGACTGAGATCTGAGGATCAAGGTTCAAAGCCAGCCAGGGCAAGAAAGTCTGTGAGACCCTCTTCTCCACTAAACTACCAAATAAGCTGGAAGTGAACCCACAGCTCAAGTGGTAGAGAACTAGCCTTCAGCAAAAACAACTCAAGGATAGTGCTCAGGCCCAGGGTCCAAGCCCCCCAACCCCCCAAAAAAGTCACAATAATTAATATATAGTTATTTGTGTATAACTTCCAAAAAATGCCAACCAGTGAAAGACTTGCCTCTGAACACATTATACTAATGTGCTTTGCATTTTCTAGTTATTTGCTATCATGAAAATAATATGTATATGTACTTAAAGCTTAGATTTTCAATATTGACCAGATTTCTACCATTTACCAGCTTTACCATTTCTACCTGTGGACACCAAAGCGAAAGTGATCTTTTAGTTTTGTTTTACTGTGAAACAAGTTGCCAGACAGTGACATAAAATACAACTTTTATTAATTTTGTTTCACATGGGTCTGTGGCTGCTTTGGCATTTTTTCAGCAGGAGCATCTGAGTCCTCTGGGGTGGCCAGCAAGCCACAGCCTAGCCTGGTCAGGGCCTTGCCTGGGCCCACAGCGAGCTGCGGCCTTGCCTGGTCAAGGCAGTGGAGGCTGCCACCTGAGTCCACAATCCTCTGGTCCTCAAATGTCCAATGTTCTGGATCAGATTGTGTCCCTGATGCCTGAGACTTTGGAGTCATAGGTCAAAATGGCAAAGAAGAATCTAGAAAGCTCCCTGGGGATTTTTGGAATTGACTAGCTCTCATTGCACAAAAAGAAGTTCATAAAAGGAGACTTTCAACAACGCAATAATGACATACACTGTACAGTATTTTTAAAAACATTTTTTTTTATTTTTTGGTCGGTCATGGGGCTTGAACTCTGGGCCTGGGCACTGTCCTTCAGCTCTTTAGCTCAAGGCAAGCGCTCTACCACTTAAGCTACAGCACCACTTCCAGTTTTCTGATGGTTTATTGGAGATAGGAGTCTCACAGTCTTTCCTGCCCGGGCTGGCTTTGAACCGTGATCCTCAGATCCCAGCCTCCTGAGTAGCTAGGATTACAGGCTTGAGCCACCAGCGCCCGGCTAAAAACATTTTTTAGAATTTGAAATTTTTTAACTCATCCAGGCCTCATCACTACCTTATGAGGTAAGAACTCCTCTCTTCATTTCACAGGGGAGGCCAGGAAAGCACAGAGAGCCTGTGTCAGTACTACTACACCATGTTGCAATGTGAGTCCATTTTTCATTATGATATTTGAAAATGTAAGCATCAGCAGTCAGACTGGCTCCTTCCTCTATTTCTCACAACCCTTTTATAATAGGTTGATCACTATAGGGTAACAATCAGAATTATCAACAGGAAGAGCAAGAAGGGTCTTCCAAGAAGGAAGAGGATCCTAAAAGCCGAAGGAAGGACAAGGTACATGAAGAATCCAGTTAGTGCCTCAACTCACTCGACTGCTTGCTGGCTGCAGGCCCAGGGCTAGCTCCCAGTACAGTGGTGAAGAATGCTGAGGCTTGCTATGGTCCTCCAAGAAAGACCAGCCTGGAGCAGTGTCTGTGGTTAGCAACACTGCTCAGTTCATCCGTATCTGGGGTGGGAAGCCCAACATTGAGCTGAATTTCATATGAATGGCAATAGCCAGCTAATGCTCTTTGCAGGGACACCTTCACACTTGATGGACGTGGACTCCACCTTGCAGGGCACATGGAAAACACACCCAGAACAGCCTCTACAGCAATGAAAAAGAGGAGAAAATTGGGCAGAAGCTAGAATGCGGGGGAGAAATAAGCAGTTTTAGTTTCAGTACTGGAGATGTTTGTCAGAAAGTCTGGAAGTGGATTTCAGTTTGAGTTCACCACTTTCCAGCTGTGGAAATGAGGACAAGTCATGTGACCCCCAGGACCACGGATTCCTCAACCACAAAAGTCATGCCTCCTTGCCAGCACAGCTGGGGAGCACTGGTACAGATTAGACCAATTTAGATGTGGTTGGCCTCGTGGCCCAGAAAGCAAAACACAGAAATTAGGAATGGAATCGGCCTGGAAAAGACCTGGCCAGGTAACTGCAGAAAACTCAGTTTTCAGTTAATGTTCCCCTTGCTTGGAATAGCGAATATAATAAAATCCTGTCATTTCTAACTCCAGG